AAACCTTCAGACCGTGTGAGACGATAGAGTTTGAGAATCATAATATGAAAGGCAACCTGGAGCGACTTCGAAGAGGATACAGGATCGGAGATCGAAAACAAAGTCGAGGTGGGAATCCAACACTTCATTGCACGGCTTCCGAATTGAAACATATCGTGCCAGAATGCTCCATCGGTTGAAGACTGGGATCCGGACGTCGCGAAGGTCGGTGGTTATTCATTAAAGCGGCTCGTATGAATAGTACCAGAATCCCGAAGAGGATGACGATGCCTTTTCTAGCACATCTCTGGAAGCACTGCCAGGCTGCAGGAAGCTCAGCTTTTACGCTGCGTTGCTGCCACGACTCACACTCTGTGTTGCCAGGTCTTCGACTCATGGGAAAAGACACGCTCTGCCGCTGCAGCGGTTGCTCTGCGCACCGACCCCAGCAATCCTCTTGCATGCGTCGCAATCAGAACCGCGGCCGCTCTCTGGCAAAACTTCGCGCCGAGGGTCCCCCTGAACGGGCTCAACTGAGAGTCCGAGAAACAATTACTCCACGTGCACCAAAAGAAGCCTGCTGCTGAGTTATTCTTGTACACTCCTTCATGGCCCGAAGTTTCTGTTGTGGCCAACGTCATCTGTATAAAGCCAACGTCCCAAGGACGTCCCCAAGTCCTCCTGCAAAGACATTGTCCTATATGGAAAACTTTTTGGAAGACTGTGGATGGCATTGACATGGGCGAGCCTTGATCTGAAATCCGGTCAATGGTCGTAGTTGTCCACACTTTTGGTGTTCGGATGCAGTTGGGGCTCAGGTGCGTGTTCGCTGACAGAATAGATAAAATCGAGACTCCACCAAGGCCATTACTTCTAACCTGCAGGCAACTAGGTATGTGTTTCGCTTGCGCCCTAAACCCTAAACCCTAAAACCCTAAACCCTAAAGCCTAAACCTGTCGTACGCCCCGGGTGCCTGGACGCGCTTGAGCACGAACTGTGCCAGTTCGTTGGGGGTTGGGGGTACACTAAGAATGGCTGGGGGAGACGACCTGATTTGAGGTGAGGGTTACTTTCTCGAAAGATGGGTCCTGCTTTACTAAGTAGCAAAGGCTTTGTGTCCGAGTCTGAGTGACTGTTTGAACTATGTGCACATTCGGACGCCTTTGTCGTAGTTGGCTAAGCAGCTTAGCAAGAGTCCAAGTTTAGCGTCTGTTCTTATCTGGACATCCCGCGCTTTGACCCGAAACCTCGGTACCCGAACCTAAGACCCAAGCATAGGCGCGTAAGCCATAAGCCCTAAACCCTCACAAGGCCCCACTGCTAGACCCTAAACCCTATACCCTAAAATCGCTAGACCCTGAGACCAAATGCCCGGGTCTTAAACCTGCATTTTCAAGCCTTTATGATTGCAGATGACGGCTGAAGCTCCTTATTATTCTTCGGGAAGTACCATCCGATTAGGGTTTAGGGTTCAGTTTAGGGTTTAGGGGTTTGGGGGGTTTAGGGGCTTAGCCCTAAACCCTAAGCCCTAAACTCTAAACCCTAAGCCCTAAACCCTAAACCCTAAACCCTAAAGCCCTGAGCCCTAAATTTCGGATTTGTCGTTGCTGCTTCAGAGCTCTGCAGACATGGCTATCATAACAAGGAATGAGCCAGAAGACGCATCTTGTGCAAGGAGTCTTATCTACGGGTTTAGGGTCTAAGGGTTTGGATTTAGGGTTATTTTGGGCTTAAGGTTTAGGGCTTAGGATTTAGGGTTTAGGGTTTAGGATTTAGGATTTAGGATTTAGGGTTTAGGGTTTAGGGTTGTAGGGTTTTAGGGTTTCAGGCTAAGGACCCTGAGCTCGAAACCCAAAGCCCTACAACCCCTAGATACGGGAGCGTCTACCCCAGACATACCAAATTACGTGCATCTTGCATCGACCACTAGGCTGGAGGGGGTTTTTTAGTATGAGTGTGCGAGCTCTTTCCATGAGCCAGCACTGCACTGGAGCCGACAGCCCGAGCGTCGAGACGACAAGAGTCTCGTCACAGGGTTTCCCTAAGGATCCATGTGCCGACATAGTATGTACTTGGGCCTTACAGAGGTTTCTATAAAGGTATATCAGGCCGAAGTATACTATAAGGCACATGGAGCCTTAGGGTGTAGAAACCGACAGGGCTTGGGGTTTTGATGGGACTAGTTGTACCATAGCATTCGGGGCGTGGGGATCGAGTGCAGGGGCAACTACAAATGTTGCTGTTTGAATCCTGCACTAGCGCCAAACCAATGCTTGCCTTCGCGTGGCTGCACATGATGGCAAGGCTGATGAGGGTTGAGAGCCAGGCCGTGGCCCCCATCGCTATCATCACCGTCATCATCCCCATCATCCTCATCATAATCATAACCATCATGTTCGTCAGCCCTCCCAACGATACCATTATCATTCTTGGCAGCGGCCTCATACCAGCAATCATCAAGATCAATATCATAACGAATGATGTTCGCATGTCTGTCAGCCTCTTCATCACCACCATCATCATCATCATCACCATCACCATCATCATCATCAACAACAACATCACCAACATCCGGTTGAGCATCATCACGCCTCGTTCTCATCCTCTTCCTTGTCCGTATGAGTATTGAACATGGTGAAGCTTTCTATCAGCACCACCTTCCGGGCTACTTATCGCTCTTTGAGTTTATTGAGGTGGGGCCTGGTGCTACTCCTGATCCTTGCTGCAGCTGTTGCTGCCGTCCTGCTCAGGCTACCACCACCACCACTACTACTACGACTACTACTACTACTACTACTACTACTACTACGACCACCACGACGACGAC